ATTATATATATATATATATATATATATATATATATATATATCAAGAGCAAAAAGAGAGCACCTGGTAGGAGGAAAAGATGGTGGGTTGAAGTATGTTGATATCAAAAGTTGGGATGACGACATTAGTCAAGGTGTCATGGAGCCTCTTGTCTTTAAGCGTCTCACGTGCAAGCCTCCTCAAATACTTGCCATCGTATTTAGGGCCTATAACTGCACTGATCACCTTTAAAGCCGAACTAAAAGGACCCCTACAACCAAAAACAGCAATAAAAAGGCAAACATCAATAAACCACTTAACATGACAAAGCATTGTTTTATTAAAACCTAGATCGGTGGGACAAATTAGAAAAAATGAAAGAGAAAAAGTGTAGGATCTAGACCATATTAAATACATCAAGAGTGTGGATTAAAAGGTCTTGATGAAGGATGAAGAGGTCAACTAAAGGTGGAAAGTTTATTTTAAAAAATTATTAAATGACGAACACAATGGGAATACAGTGGTAGAAGGAACCAGTCGCATAAATGAGGGTGGAGGTCATAGATATATTTGTAGGATAAGGATATTTGAAGTGGAAGAAGATTTTAAAAGGTTTAGGACCAGATGGTATCCCGATAAATGTTTGGAAGTGCATGGGAGAGATTAGTATTGACTAGCTAACCAAGTTATTCAACAAAGTAATGAGAACAAAGAAAATATAAAACGAATAGAGGAAAAATATTGTGGTAACTATTTTCAGGAACAAATAAAACATACAATTTTGTGCGAACTATCAAAGGATCATACTTATAATGCACACTATGAAGCTCTATGAGATAGTGATTGAGAAACGACTAAGGCGTGAAACAAGTGTATTAGAGAACTAATTCGGTTTTATGGCAGGGACGTCAACAATTGAGGCAACTTTCCTACTTAGGCAATTGATTGAGAAGTTTAAGGTGCAGGGAAAAGACCGCCACATAGTCTTTATTGATCTAGAGCAAGCTTATGATAGAGTACCCCGAGAGTTGATTTGGTGCATGTTGAAAAATAAACGAGTCTCCATATACTACAATGACTTGATAAGAGATATGTATGATGGGGCGTTAACTTACGAACAACTAGTAGAGAGGTGAGGGAGTTTGTCAATGACAATAGCTCTATATCAGATATCAGCATTGAGAACATACCTCTTTGTCTTAGTTATGGACGAGTTAACTAGGTACCTACAAGATAAGGTATAGTCGTGCAAGTTATTTGCAGATGACATAGTTTTGATCGATGAGACCTGAAACATCATCAACACAAAGAACTTTGGACTTATGTTATAGAATCTGAAGGTTTTAAAGTTAGCCGGACTAACACATATTATATGGAATATAAGATTTAGTAATAATAGAAGTAGAGACAAGGAAGTAGTTAAGATTGAAGGCCAATAAATACCATAAAGAGCGCACTTTTGATATCTTGTGTTAATAATTTAATAAAATAAAGAGATTAAAGAAGATGTTGCATATAGAATTAGAGCTGGGTAGGCAAAGTGGAGATGTGTAAATGGAATTTTATGTAATCACGGCATACCAATGAAGGGCAAGTTTTATAGGATACCTGTATGACCAGCATTGCTCTATCGGACGGAATGTTAGGCAATTAGAAAATAGTATACCTAGATAATAACAGTGGAGATGAGGATGTTAAGATGGATAAGTGGCAATACAAAAAGGGATAAAATTTGAAATGAATACATTTGAGAAAATTTAGGTGTGACACTAATAGGCAATAAAATGAAAGAGAATAGACTTAGGTGGGTTGGCCATAGATGGCTCAGACACACTATAGCACCTATTAGGAGGTGCGAGTTAGTTCAAGTGGAAGGCTCAAAAAGGGCAAGAGGTAGTTATATAAGGACATGGTTGAAAGTTGTGAGAAAAAATATATAAACTTATGACCTTAATGAGGGTATGACCGCTTAATAGACCAGCATAGCGGACCAGGATTGGTGCAGCTAACCCCAATTAGTTGGGAAACGATAATGATGTTCGGTGGGATAGATTTTTCACCCACAAATTCATGTTGAATCATTGGATCTACTATTCAGTTCGGATCTAGATAGGTGATCCAAAAAATATTAAAAATAAGTAAAATAAAATAAAAGATAGATAGAAATTTATGGGGTGGGATTAAACGAGACCTAAGAAAACATCAGATAAAAAAAATGAGGGGGATTTTCAGGGGGAAATAGGTCGAGACCAATACCATGCTAGAATCGGTTCGGTCAGCACCAATTCCCATCCAAATCGGCGATCTAGATAGGAAATCATTATGTTTTAAAATTATGTTAAAAAGTATGTTACAAATGACGGTTTAATTATTTAGTTCTAATAAACTACCTCGGACTTATCTTAAAAGCCAAAAGATATTCTACTCCCTAGGGAGCATACTATCCATTTACTCCCTTGGGTAAAATCCCATCTAGGACTAGTTTTAGGACCCCAAATTTTAAGGATATAACCTATTTAACCATAGATTATCCCCAATAAAAAAAATCTCTAATTGCCTCTAAGCACTTAAAAAAAAAAAAAGCCTTAGAATGTAATAGGAACCGTCTACTTTCTTAGAGGGTGAGATCTAAGTGTTAGAAAGCTCAAATCTCAAATTCTTTTTTATTGAGAATAATCATGTGTGATTCTAAGGCGGTTAGAATTCAGATTGAAAAAGTCTTCATCTAATCGACGGAATAGAAGTAAACTATACCCCGAGGGAGCATGGTATGTCTTAAAGTTTGAAATGCCATGTTTGTATGTGTACTCACCACTGCAAACATTTATGTCTTACCATATTAATGGATTTCACGTGCGTGACATGTACGGTGCTCTTACTCGAGTGATATCCTTTATCAACGATCAAAACTATAATTAGTTGTGGCAAAAGGTTTAAATTCTGCTTTTGATCATCCATCATATACATGTATTCCTTGTCGCCTATTAAAATTACAATTATTTGCTGCAAAAGTTTTAAATGAGGTCCTGTTCAAATGAGGCCTCCTTCCAACAATTCATCGTAGACATAGATTGCGGATCCAAAACATATCAACATTGGTTTCATCATTTCCCATTCAGAATAATGCAGCTCTGGTGATTAAGGAGTCCAATAATCAAAGTTTATAGTGGTGTACTTCTAAGATTCAAAATATATTTTTTCATATTCATGATTGTGTAGTCGAGATTATCAATCCAGATGGTTTCAAGTTCAAACTCTATCATGGTGCTCAAGATTATGGATTGCGAATTTTCAGTCCAAAATCCATGGCATCAACCCATAAAGTTTAAAATTTATCTTCTAAAATGCATTCTTGAAAGAGATCACCATTGAATTGGTTAATCGGCTGGTTCATTTTATATCTATCTGCATACACATGAATGGCATGGCATACACATAGAATAAGGCCATGGATATTTATTGCATGCCACAAATAGTTGGGATAAGACTCAGATGGTGAAGATGTGTGGCATGGCACATATGAATCTGAATTTACAGATTCATGCAGGTTTTAGTTACCTTGGATGTGGAAAAATCTTAGGGCAATGCTCGAGGTAGAAGGGGACTATATCTTTAGCCGCATAGAGGGGGCGTTTGTTTTCATCAGGTGCAGTTAGCATGGTGGTTACAAGCCCACCAGTGCTGGTCCCTGCTATCACATCAAAGTAATCTACAAGCCTTACCTCCTCTCCATCTAGTGCCTGCCATGAAACCCTAAAATCCTCATTAACCCATTCAACAATAACAATAACAACAATACTAATAGGAAAATATTTCGTAAGGGGAAGTACTTTTGCAATACATCATGTAAAGGATGTGGTGGGATAACAAAAATTCAAAATCAATGGAGTTAGAATTATATCACAAAATCTCATTTTTTATTTTTAATATTATTTTCTTTTTAGGTTCCTATCCATCATGTTGGAGATTTTCGTTCCTTAAAATTTTTTAATCCAAAATCCATCTCTACAACATATTTTGAATAAGTGAGTTGTATAAATAGATAAGCCAGCTGACTCACATGAACCATAAACCTTATGCATAATATAGTAATAGTTACTTTTCCTACTGGTGCACAGTATACAGTAAATCAGGACGTATACACCGTCAGTTCCTGATGATGGGTGGTAGAGACTAACTGTAGCTCTCTTTGAAATATAACAACGCGTTAATCTCACCCGTTCTCCTATTCCGAATGGATGGCAGATGGCTGTGTAGTGGAAAGCGGATAAATGATGTCGTATATTGCACCAAACTGAGTGTATGAAAGATCTCTGCTACAATTTCATCTCTAAAGCAACTTATCTGTGATGACCATGGATTTTAAACGTTTAACTGTCTAACGCTCTGGTTTGGAGACTAGAATGTAAAAATGATTATAAAGGCAGTCACTGAGCTAGAAAATGCTTCAATATCTAAAACCATGGTGGTCCACAACCATCGTGTTGTAAACCAAAAATAAACAGTGACTATCACCAATATCATCCCTTTTTTGAGAGAGTAAACGAGAAAATTATTTCATTCTTTTGGTGAGATTATCAGCAGAATCATCATCATTCACCCATGCTCGTCTGGTGGAGAAGATAATAATGTTATTCTAAAAGGAAAAAAACCATTGTGCACCATGAGTGATTCATAGAACATAGTAATAAGAGTAAGGGAGAAGATTATTGCACTTGAAGTTGGGACTCGAGGAAGCTGAGAATGATTCCAGGAATGATGCCTCTCACTCCTCCTCCATCTATGCTTAGGATGGTGATGAAGTCCCCGTAAAGGGGCGATACGTTCTGTGAGAGCGTTTCGTTTGCCATTGAAGCTCGTATTCTTAGGTAGAAAGCTGCAAAAATCACAAGAAAGTCACTATGAAGTTCCCTAGTTCTTTGAGTAAAAGTTGGTTTCATGAACTATTTATAGGCTCAAAACTACAATAGCATAAACAAAGAAGCTCCATTTTAAGGTCAGCAGCTGCCAACAAAGAATACTAGATAGATAGATAGAGAGAGAGAGGTTTTCAAAAAAATATAAAAAATAGAAAAGGGATACCAAGTTTTTAAACATTGTAATGAAAAGGCTCCAAAATAGGCTAGTATCACTCGAAAGGACTGGCTCCTCGAAATTCAAAAAAGTTGGCCCAGTCTGAATTTTTAATCATCGGACCGCTTAGACCTCATTTTTTAATGGTTTATGGCAGATCGATATTTCTAACATTGGACCACATTTAGGTCTTATTTTGTGAAGGTTTAAAGCGGCCCGATGTTCCTAATATCAATCCGAGTTTAGACCTCAATTTTTTGAAGATTAAAAATGATCATAAAATCACAATAATAAATTTAATATGCGGTCTGATGTTAAACATCTCCCCAAAGGCAAACCTGAAAAAAATAAAAATAAATAAATAAATCAGGAGACAAGAAACTCCACATAATATCGCATATTTTTTTACCATCAAGTAAGAATGTTCAAATGAGAGAGAGAGTCCTTTCACCAGTCATGCATCTTCTTTCTAGTTGGAGTCGTAGGCATTTCGTATAAGCCACCTCATTGAGCAAGTAAAATAAAGTAGAAAAATACATACTGGAAAGGGAATGAATCGAACTAGAAATATATTGTTGAATAAGGGTACAGAAATTAAATAAACCACATTGCTTTTGAAAGTGGTTTTGCTCTTGTTGAACCAGGATTATTTATTGGATTTATTGGTGGATTTTGGTGACCCACTTCTTGCGTAGAGAGCCTCATTCCGAATTTATTTAATTCGCACGTTGGGTCATGACAAGAGAGACAGGGGCTTCATAATTCTTTCATAACATTTTTTATATATAAAATAAACATAAGTCAAAACGCGAGAGAGAGAGAGCAGCAATAAAATATTGATTCAGCATCTTCAAATATACGAGAGGGAAGCGAACAGTTAGTTAGAACGTTAAAATATTGATAATTGGTTCTTCATTTTCAAATTGAAGAATCCTTTTACCCAATGGTTTAAAAACCGGATCGGTGACCCGGATCGGGCTTTCCAAAAACCTATCCGGATCGGTGAATCGGCAATCCGGATTTGTGAGTCGGCGATCCGGATCGGAATCGGGT